CGCCCGGGATCCGAATCTGAGAACCCTGGGCCACCGAAATGTAGTGCGCAAACTTAACTGCTATGCCACCAGGCCAACCCCATGGAATTTTTTCATATAATAAAAGTAAAAACTGCTGCTATTTAAAAAACATTGCTAAAATTTGATCTTATTCTTTTGCTGGTGAATATGAAAATTGCAATCTTTATACTCTGCAGAAGGCTATTTCAATGATAGGTATTGAATAATTACGGTGCTTGACATTCTTCAGTGACTTTCTTGTTCTGAATGAGAACATTCCGTACTCTGAATTTTTGTCTTCTTTGACTCCATTTTATGATCCTTGAGATTTAGTGCTTACCAGGGTATGAATAATGTTACAACTTTTGCATAGCAGTTTATATTTCATTTTGATTCAACCATCACATTCATGGGTTCAAATGAAAGGCAGATGAGTGAAACTTTTTTCTTTATTGCAGAAAAATTAGACCAAAGGAACACGTCTCACACCCTCAGGATGGGAAACAAGAATTTGAGTCTTCATGTTGCGTCCAGTTATATATCAGTCTATTATCCAACCCATCTCTTCTCATTCAATTTGTTCAGCTAAGAATGAAATATTGATTTTCTGCAATCTTTCTATTCAGTGTTATGGAGAAAAAAGGAAGAGAAAAATGACATTTTTTTGCATTTAAAAATTTATTACCTTGTTAAAATGGCAAAAAATATACATAAAACAGTTAAAAGTTCAAAACATATATACATAAATTAGGTAGTTATAACAACTGGCTTTACAAAAAATAAAGGACTCAACTGTTAATTATTTTGATTTATGATTTTTTTTTCAGAGAGACCAAGATGCCCCATAGAATTGAAGGGGATTAGCCATTACCATTCAATTGTTTAGTAACATTTTCTTTTCCTTCCACTTTATCATACCAAAATTAATGGTTAAGATTTACTAAGAAGAAGAAATAAATACTCATATTCCGCTATTATTTGCTCTAGCTCTCTTCACTTTTCTCTTTCATGTAACAGACTTCGGCCACCTCTCTATAACAACATCCAACTATACATCCAGGTACCCCACCTCCTTTCTGCTGACTGGTGTCCCAGGATTCGAAGACTTCCAAATCTGGATCTCCATCCCTTTCAGCTTCATGTACCTTTTGGCTGTGATAGGCAATGGCCTGGTTATGGCAGTGGTGGCCTGGGACAAAAGCCTCCACGAACCCATGTATCTCTTCCTGGCCATGCTGGCACTCAACGATGTCCTCCTTTGTAGTGTCACAGTGCCCAAAACGCTTCTCATCTTATGGCAGGGCTCTTCCCCATCCACATTTCCTGCCTGTCTCACCCAGATGTTTTTTGTTCATGCGCTCTTCCTCTCTGAATCTGCTGTTCTACTGGCCATGGCTTTCGATCGCTATGTGGCTATCTGTTCACCACTCCGTCATGCAACCCTATTTACAGGCTCTCTCATTGGCAAGATGGGCCTGGCTCTGGTGGCTCGAAGTGTGGCTGTAGTCACCCCTGGTGTACTCCTCATTCTCCGGCTGCAGTTCTGCCAGAGCAACATCATCCACCATACCTACTGTGAGAACATGGGCATTGCCAAGGTGGCCTGCAATAGCATTGCCCTTAATAACATTTATGGGCTCACCGCTGCTCTCCTCACCACAGGGCTGGACTTTGTCTTCATCTTCCTGTCCTACTGGCTAATCCTGAGAACAGTTTTCCAACAACCTTCTAGGGAAGCCAGGACAAAGGCGTTCGGAACCTGTGGAGCTCATATATGTGTCATCTTGATATTCTATACTCTGGCCTTCTTTTCCTTCTTTACCCATCGCTTTGGAAACCGTGTGCCCAGTCATGCCCTCATCCTCCTGGCAAACCTCTACTTACTGGTGCCACCTACCGTGAACCCCATTGTCTATGGAGTAAAGACAAAAGAGATAAGGATGAGAGTACTAGGACTCTGCAGCCAACCAAAATGACCCAGGGGTAGTGAAGCAACAAGGAACAAGGGAGTCCAGGATGGAGGAACATGCCCAAATGCCAAGTCTGAATCAATCTTGGCAGATCTATCCCCAGAACCCTGACTTCTGAATACAGCTTTAAAAATTCCTATTTCCAAATACTATCTTCCTGACATGGGATAAACAAGGAGCTAACAGGGAACTGCTCAGGTACCATCAAGGAGTATCTCAACATGTTAAGGTAATAATCAGTGGAATGTCACTATAACAGCAAAGGGGATTTAAATATCTTTTTTATAATAGACAATGTCTCCTATACGTCAATCTGCTATGGACAGGACAAAATGTAAACTCCACAGGGTTAAGTATCAGTTCTGATTCTGGCCTCACCATTACATCCACAGGACCCAGAATAAACAAATAATTTAATAAATATCTGTTGAATGAAAAAATGCCTTCATTAATCAAATCATAAATGCTAATGACTTTATGTAACAGACTCCCTTGATACGT